ATATTCTAAACAACGTTTCTTAACGCTCTAAAGGAACACAGCATGTCATGATCTCAGCTCTCTGCCACCTGCCAGCGCTCTTGGCCACGCCCACTTCTCCGCAGGAGGAAGCTTCTGCAGCGTGCAGGTGCTGCAGGGGCTAAAAAATTTAAAATAAGTTATTTTAAATAAAAATTCCATGCTGATCATGTGGCTCATCCATCAATCAGCCTGTCGTGTCGTGTCCAATCTTATTTTGAGAGACCTCGATAGAGTGAGTCAGTGAAAAACAAACCATGAAGTAGCGAGGGACTACTGTACCTCCAATTATATATTTATGAAAGTTTAATTAAAAATTTGTATAGTGTTTCTTGAGATTTTTTAAAATTATTTATTTATTTGCTTAAAAACAAATAGGGTTAGCTTTAGCGTTTAAGGTTTTAAGCAAAGATCATGTACAGTGAGTAGCACTCCCAAGTGGGAATGATTCTCAGTTGCACTAAAAGCTCTTTATCTGCAAAACCAACAGAACTAGAGCAGCTTCAGTATTTTCTTGAAACAGCTGGTTGTGTGTTCATTTTAAATTTGGTTAATTCCAAAATGTAAACATTTGTAAATTAACAATAGGTGGTTGTTTTCTAAAAGTTTCACTAAAACTCCTTCAGTAGTTCACAAGATATTTTGCCCAGAAGTCAGTTAATTAAATAGATACAGTCAAAAATAATTAAGGCGTTCCATTCCCGTGAGTCAGTTTCAGCATTTTGGGACACATACTTATAAATGAAACCGATCTAGTGGTTATGATGTTTATCACACCGTTGCTTTCTTGTTGTGACAAGTCAAATCGTTTATTTGGAAGAGAAAAAAAAAGGTGTGTGTGTGTGGGGGAGGCGGGGTGTTCTGTTGGTGTGTTTGATGCCAGTGGCACTATGAACCTCTTGTTTCAATAATAGTTCACGTGTTTCTGGTTTTACGTGACTGTAACTTGATTTTGTAAAACTTTGAACCCAAGGTGTAAAAAAAAGTACAAGCCAAAGGAGGTGAAACAAATCTGCTTTATATTTCCCCCTCCTTTAAGTTTATATTTGATTACATTCTGCTGATGAGGTTAAAATTTGATTTGGGCAAATAAACTGAACGCACGGCAACTCCTCCGCTTCCCCCAGATGTCAGTCTGCAGAACTTTGTCTCTTCTGCAGCAGCTGAAAACTAAAAGATGAAGAATGCATTGCCATCTTTGATTAGTTTTTCTCCGGAAGGAACCGTATTGTTTGTCTTATAAGTCACAGTTTTTTGCACACTTTGCATGCCCTGCGACTTATACATCGAAGTGACTTATTTATGGATTTTCCCCTGTATTTATAAACCAATTTTGAGCTGAAATATGACTGTTTTCATTCATTCTGACTGAAAATATTGAACACTACCATTTTCAGCCGCTAGATGGCACTCGAGTAGTGTGACATGCAGTTGTGTCACAAAATAAGTAAAAGTGGCTATTAATGACACAATTTGCTTGCCATAGCCCACCAACTTCGTCCAGCTCGCTTGGAGCAACCGTCAAATCAGCTTCATTTCGCTGTGCCGCCCCAGAGAAATACAGCTGATTTGACCATTGAAATCCATTTATTAAGTAAAAGTTCAACTAAGACACACCTTTACTATAATGTTGAGCAAACAATAATTGTTTTTAAGTGTTAATCTTGTTAAATTCTTGTTAAAGTCCTCCCGTTCACGCACCTTTTGGCTGCAATTTGGCAGCCACATTTCCGGGTGATCAGCAGTGACGTGTAACAAACTCGACGCGTCAGCGGTGACGCATAATATATGCGACCTATATGGCAAAGCAACATATTTTTAGACATTTGGACTGATGTGACTTATAGGGCTGTGCGACATGTACGGCGGAAAATACGGTATTCTGCTGTCTGATATTTACATTAAGAAAGTTTCATTGAAATCTGTCTGGTAGTTTCTTCTTTTACACATTTTTGCTCAAAATAAATAAATAAAGGTGAATCCAAACGGTAATGTCACGGTTTTAAACAAGAACATTGTGCAAAGAGCCGTGCAGAATGTGTTGTGGATGATGCTCATCTACTACCATGCCAAATTTTAGTTCAGTATTTACAAAACTGACTGACATATGTGTTTGTTTTCTAAGATCAGGTGGCTGTGGCAGCCATCTTGTATTGGATTGAGTTCAAAAGTTAATCAGATGTCATCCTGATGATTCATTTCTGAAATACGTTTTAAAACTTATCCTCTGCTTCTTGAGGTATTTTGCTGACAAATGGAGCGGATTTGAATAGTTGATGGCAAAGTTTCAAACACAGCCTTTGTGTGATCAGGGTATAAGTTAGAGATCTGTCATGTACTGCCACATTAACTTTAAGCTCAGTATTTGTAAAACTTACCAGCTATCTTGTGCTTGATGAGATAGCTTTGCTGTGGTGGTCATCTCCAGATGTTAACCAGCTGTAGAAGTCAACCCGGTGATTAGTTTTTAAAACATTCATGGAAATTCATTCTTTGTTTCATGAGCTGCTTTTCTAACAGTAATAGACACACAAGAGCAAAAACATTGTTGCTCTGACTTTGCATATGGCGGCGGGTGATTAAAAAGCACCAGTGTGGCCTGGAGTGACCATTTTAACTCAGGTTTAAAAAAAAAAAAAAGAGAGTCATACAGAAGACAAGCGAGAGCGCTGGATTGAAAAGAAAGCGAGAATGTATGGGTGGAGAGGAGTGTGTGTGTTTGTGTGTGTGCCTATCAGACGGATTTTACGTCTGTGAGGCTCAGCTTTGATGTTGTAACACACACACGTGCACACACACACACACACACACATTACAAATGATTGTTTTTAAGAATCCAAGCCAGGGAGCTCCAGTAGGCAGTCTGCCAGCTGGCCACGGTCCAGAGAGTGGAGCGTAGCCAGCACAGACAGAAGAAACCTGGCCGGTGCACACACACATTTTGTAAGATATTCTCGCACGTTACCTCACACACACACACAAAACCTCTTCAGTCTTTCTCCCCTTCTCTCCACCTATTCACCTACCAGTTCTTCTACACTTGTCCTTGTTTTATGTCTTCTGCACATTTTTTTCCTCCTCTCCTAACTCCCTTTCTCCTCTCATCTCAACCATCTCAAAGCTTTCCACTTCCCTTTCACTTCTTCCTTCATCTTCCATTCTCCCCTACATGCACACGTAGATACACACATTTCCTCTCCTCTCACGGTGGCACCAGATTGGGGGCTTTTTATGGAGACAGCCCTCATTCAACCAAACCACCTAAAGTTGGCCTCGTACTGGGCGGTGACTGTTAGAAACTAGTTTGTGACTCAGAGTTCACAGACAATAGGTGGAATATTTATTGCAGACTTATGGAATTCTAAGTGTTTGCGACCAGAAGACCAGACAGCCAATTTCTATTATTCATGGCCTATTTTCACATGCACCACTTGTTTTTAACAATTATAATTTATTACTGGTGTGCTTCTTAAATTTGAACATGCTTTCTGTCAAAGAGAGCTCCCCAGCTTCTGTTAAAATCCATCCATCCATCATCTTTACCCGTTTTCTTTCTGAGTCGTAGAGGTCACAGGTGCCCATATCCAGCAATCACTGTGCGAGAGGTAGGGTACACCCTGGACAGGTCTCCAGTCCATCACAGGGACACATAGAGACAAACAAGGAGGTCATCTGGACAGTTCCTTTTTTATTTTGTTGAGAGACGTTTCGCCCTCCATCTGAAGGGCTTCATCAATCTGAGAAGTCACACAAACTTTTTCCCCACCAAGCAGTACACTCCCACAGTGGACCATCCAGTTTGCTGGTGATAAGATGAATTTCTTTATCTGGATCATTAAGCATGAACTTTGATGACTTGAACCAGTTTGGCTGTGGTTGCCTGGGAAGAGTCAACAAGGGAGAGGACACCCCCCCCCCCCCCTCCCCAGTAACCACCATTTTATCACCAGCAAACTGGTTGGTCCACTGTAGGAGTGTACTGCTTGGTGAAGAAACAGTTTGTTTGTGACTTCTCAGACTGATGAAGCCCTTTGGATGGAGGGCAAAATGTCTCTCAACAACAACAAAAAAAGAACTGTTCAGATGACCTGACTGAACATTGTTGGATTTCTTTACCTGGATTATTGAGCATGAACTTTGATGGCTTTTCTTCATAGCCCAGCTGCACTACAGCTTTCCACACAGGGGGCAACAGTGTTAACTACAATCATAAGTGATGATGATGAGCTCATTGGTTAACTGTCTATCCAGAAGACAAGAAGAAGCAGGCTGGTGGACTTTAGTGGACAGGAAAGATGACGAAAACCTAGTCCAGTCGTTCACAAACTTGACTAGGAAATCGTGAATAGCTCTGTCTCTGTCTTAACCCCCTATCCTTTCCTTGCTTTTTGCTCCTCTCTCCACATCATCATAGTTCTCTCCATCCTCATCTCTCCTCCCTCCTAGGTTTTATCACTCATCATTACCCGGGGGACTGGCCTGAAATGGCTGATAGAGCCTTTTGGCTAATTGTCACCATTTAGATTCAATGGTTATTAACCATTCAGAGTAATCTCTCTCTCTCTCTCTCTCTCTCGCTCTCTCTCTCTCACTGTCTTACACACACACACACATACACACACACATGCTGTAAGTAGTGAGGGGTGTTGGTGGTTTTGTTGTGTGACTGTGGAATGCGTAGGATGAGTTTTTATGGAGTGCTGTTTACTTTGGCCACCACTGTTAAACTTTTAACGGCTGCCAATTAACAGGCCTGCAAGGACACTCTGTGGGGCATGAAACCAACTCCTGCAGAACAGACACTTGTACTTTCACACACGGTCCAATTTTCTTTTTGGCTTTGTAATGTGTGCCTTTGTGGCATGTGAGTTCATGGGTATGCACGCTCATCAAATCAACACAAGACCTCCTTCTATCCCACATTTCAGTTCAACGTCCTTGAAGACGAAGAACAGAGTGAAACGACCATTTACCTCCTGGTGACCTCCTGGGAGGACTCAGTGTGTATGTGCTTTAGGGCGGGGGTGGGACCAATGCTTCAAACTATTTGTCTATTTGGTTTCGGGTGGGGGGTATTTTTTAGAAGAGAAATTCCCTTCAGTCAACCACTGAAAACACTTGGCAGTATTCACCAGCTGTGGTTTTTGTCACCACTTTGTCCACTGTAAATAATGTCAACTTATCTGGCATGTTTTTGCAAAAGTACATTTATGTTGAAAGTAGCACTAACTGGTTGTAGTTTTTTCCAAAAATGACTCATGAAAGATTGTAGTGAGACACTGTTTGTTTAGAGTGCAGCTGAATGTCAATGCTCAAAAGAAACATCAATTCATTCTCACTTGCCCTCCTACCAACAGGGTACCCTGGCTATTCAGGAAGTCTTGCTTCTCCATTTCTCCCCATGAGTCCCCTGGATCACCATAGCAACAGTCTCTATGGACAGCACCGCTTCTATGAATCTCAAAAAGGTAGGTGTATTTGTGAGCTTCTGGGGGAAAGACTTTTTTTTTTTTCTTTGAACAGAAAATTTGTGAACTGCTTATTCAGCATCATCCCAGTTATATAGTCAAGTGGCGTTTGTCTTGGTAGTCAATTGGGATTTATTTATTTATTGATAAAGCGTGCATCTGATCTCTACTAGTGCTCACTTTTGTGCTTCCTTTACTCATTTCCTCTTAGATCACTTCTACCTGAGAGGCCTTCCTCCCCAGTCCCCTCTACTTTCCACAAATCACAACCTTCCCCCGCTGTCCAGGACCGCCCCGGGCCACCCACTTGGCCATTGCAGCCGGGAGACCGACAGCGGGGGAGGAGGTGGGAAGAGCACCAAGGATTTGGGCGAAAAAACGGTTGTGTCAAAAGACAAGGAGCGATCAAGCAGCAAAGAGCGGCACCAAGACAGCAAAGACAAACAACAGTTTCATCATCACCACCCTCATCAGACGAATGCTGCCACCACTCCATCTAGCCTCCAGCACCAATCTTACCCCCACCCTCACCATGCCCTTCTTTCTCACCTTGCACTCCAGGGCAGGGAGGAAGACCACAGACACTCTCTGGAGCGACATAAAGACTACAAAGACAGTGACTCGGGCAGTCAGGGAACAAAACTTATGAGTGCCTGTAAATTGTCCAGTGCAATGGGGTCAGAGTCTGTGTGTGGAGGAAAAGGAGGAACACTAAGCAGTTGCAATGGTGGTGGGGTGAGTCGACTCACATCTGGAGGTGGAGTTGACAGGCAAGGCTCAAAAGATGGACCCATTAATGGAGAAATGAGAATCAGAGAGTCCTCAACTTCCTCATCTGAATGTATGCGACGAGGGGCCGTTTCAGCAACAGCGTTCCTGGCACCTCCGACACCTCACTCTGTGGCTTCTTACTCCATGCCTCCACCTCCCGCACCACCACCTCCTCACTCTTTGCACATGGGCTCACCAGTGACAGGTGGGTGGCTACACCCTCCAAGTCACCATCCACATCCTGAGTTTTACTGTCACCCTCCTCCTCCACTAACACTTACACCCTCTAAAGATCCAGCATTCAGTCCTGGAGGGTCCAGTATGGAGGCAAAAGTCACTGGCCCAACTTATGTGCCCTCGGTTGGACTGCAAGGTGACTTGGCCACTCCTGATTGTTGTGGGACAGGAGGAGGTGAGAGAAAAGCAGAAAACAAAAGTGTAGAAAGATCTTTTGAAACTTCCCATCATCACCACAGCTGCCTTAGCAGCTGCCAGAAGAAAGACAAATCCCAGTCACAGCAACAGCAGATGGGATATGGCAAAGCTGAAAAACCTCCTGACTGGAGCCAGCAAACGCATCACTTCCAAAAGTCTGGCTCCAATGTGAGCTCTCAACCTGAACTGCGGTCCTGCAGCATGGACATGTCTTCATCGTTCAGAGATGGTGAAATATCAAATGAGATTTACCGCCCCTCACTTCCACCAGATAGCCATAAAGAACACTCTAGTTCTGAACAGGGTGCAACCAACAATGGTCCCAATTCCAGCACTTGCTCCTTTAGAGACTGTTCTCTTTCAAGTTCAAATGGAAAGGTGGGACTGGGGCCCTCAGTGCAGAAGGAAGGACAAAAGGTTGCAAGAATACGGCACCAACAGCACAGTAGCCAGACAACAATTAGCGAAGACAGGGACAGAGATGGAAGTCGGACACCATCTTCATGGGGGACTCGAGGTGGTCAACAGGAAGACCAAACGAAAAGATCCCATCATGCGTTGGTTAGTAAAGGGAGCCATTCTCAGCAGCCTCCACCACTTTCCCACTCCTCACCACACGCCAATGATGGTGAGGGCAGTGCCATAAAGAATCTTATGAACTACAGCTCCCAGCAGCCCTTGCTGTTGCCACAGAGAAGCCCTTTTGGCGGCCTTGGCTGCCTCAACAAGGGCGGGGAGAGATCAGAAAAGGCCGACAGAGGAGGAGCTAAAAGCAACATCTCCCATCAAGAACCCCCAAAACAGTCTCTCCCATCTCGCCGGGGCCCCACTAACGAGGGAGAAAAAACTGACAGAGGCACAAAGGAAGTGGGAGAAGCAGGAGAGGGGGAGGTCCGGCAGCCTCCAGTGGGTATTGCTGTCGCTGTGGCCAGGCCCCCCCATCGTTCCCCAGACAGCACTCCTGGAAACAACAGACAGAGCAGGGTGCTGCCCAGCATGAAAGGTCAGACATCTTATATGATTTGAATTGTGTTGCAAGTCTTGGCCTTTGCTGTCAATCATTAAACACTTTTGTCGTTGACCAGAATAAAAATTTGCAGAGCTTTAGGCAATTGCTAGAACTGACTAAATTAACTTGCAATTCAAACAAAAACTTACATTTTTGTATTTTAGAGGAATAAAACGAGACCTAAAAAAAAACAGACAGCAATTCTGCGTTTGAAATGTTTGTAAAAGGCCTTCGAAAAATAAAAATAACCATTTTTTTCATATAAATCAAGGAGACACACTAAAGGTTGGAAGTTATGGAAGAAAAACAAAATGCTATGCACACTTTGGCCATCACATTATGAGATCCTGATTGCAGGTAGCACAAGTTTTAGATGTTAGAATGGTGTGTTTGTGATTTAGGGGTGTCACGTCCTGTGTATCCTCTTGGTCGTGAACTGGAGGAGAGGAAGAGGATGACAGAAGACCAGATCAGCCTTCATCATCTCGACAGAGACAGGGAACTAGTCATCAGGTAAAGCCATAAACACCAGCCAATGTGCACACACACACAAGCATGCACACAATAGCCTCTATCTTCTTTTTTCTTGTTTGATAAACTACACTTCTTTTATTCACCTTGCGTCTTTCTCCCAGACCGAAGTTCTGCTTCTCGTTCCTCTCAACCCCTCACTCTATTTACTCCTCTCACCCTTTGATGTGGTTTTTCTGTACCTCCTCACTCTCCTACTTCCCTTCTCTTTCTCTTGAAGATGAGATGTGGTGCATTAATGTTACAAGGACTAATACGGATGTCTCTGAAGTATCAGGCTCTTATTATGTAGTCATATTAAGGGAAGAAAACATATAATGAGAAGTCATAGACCAGGCACAAGATGATGGCTCTTCCTGTTGCCGTCACATTTCCTTTACTTGATGATTATAATGGTAGTAGAGGTAATGAAGATGACATGGATGAAGATAATGATCGTAATAATGGTGATGAGGATGATGAAAATAAGAGGGATAATCAAAGTAATGATAAAGTTCTCCTCTCCCGATGCCACAGCAGGGAAAACAAGGATTGTGTGGAGTTTGCCAGGATCCACCCTTCCAGTAGCTGCCATGGTGACCTGACCTCTCACCTCCTGGTTGCTGGTGGAACAAGCCAGTTGGGGGCAGACCCTGTTGCACATGCTCACCCAGCCCACCACCACCACTGGATGCAGAGAACAGGAAGTCCCTCCCTCTGGATGGGGCATTCATACAGTGAGTAAATTTCATGTTCCAGTTTCAAACAAAGCAAATTTCCTTTGGTTTTCTCTTTAACTCATGTTGTAGAAGCCTAAAATTACAAATGATATTGAAGTCTTACTTAGTGTGATCAATGATTAATGTTTTATCAACTGACCCAGAGAAACTTTGGTGGTCTGAAGTGTTGCTGCTGCTACTGGCAGAAAAGGATATCTAGATTCCAAAATATGTAAAACAATTACTGTATTTTTCACCCTACAAGTCATGTTTTTTTGCATAATTTGCCCTGCAACTTATACGTCAAAGCAACGTATTTATGGATCAAAACAAAGTCCATGCTCAAAAATCCAGGTATACAATCCAACAATTTTCAGTCAGGTCAAGACTAAACTGAAAATTGTTGGATTGTATACCTGGATTATTGAACATGGACTTTGTTGGTTTTGAACCAGTTTGACATGACTGTCGACGAGGAAGAGGGCCAGCACCAGAGGAGGGGGCATGCCAAAGAGACCATCTTAGCACCAACCTAACTGGTTTGTTCCACTTTGGAGTAAACTGTTGGGGGAAGAATCAGTTTTGTGTTGTGTGTTTCCTTGACTGATGAAGCCTTCTGGATGGAAGGTGAAATGTTTCAGCACGAAAAATAAAAAATAAACTGTCCAGATGACCTGACTGAAAATTGTTGGGTACTTATGGATATTTTCCCACATTTATAAACCAATTTTGGGCTGAGATATGACCGTTTTCATTCTTTCTGACTGAAAATATTGAACCCTACCATTTTCAGCCTCGAGAAGATGGCACTAGATGGCGCTCGAGTGGTATGGCATGCCAATGTCAATTCAGCTTCATTTCGCTGCACCGCCCTGGCAAATGTAGCTAATTTGACCATTGAAGTACATTTATTAAGTAAAAGTTCAACTGAGACACACCTTTACTATAAAGTCGAGCAAACAAATAATTGTTTTTAAGTGTTGATCTTGTTAAATTCTTGTTAAAGTCCTCTCGTGTATGCTCCCGCGGCCACTATTTGGCAGCCAATCGATTTTTGGTACAACACCGGCCCACATTTCCGTGGTTGGCCCACGTTTCCAGGTTGTCAGCGGTGACGTGTAACAAACACAACACATCAGCAGTAGCGCATAATAGATGTGATGTATACGGCGAAGCAACATATTTATGGATTTTTCCACTTTATTAGACATATAAGGACTGATGCGTCTTATAGGGCGGTGCGATGTGTACAGCGGAAAATATGTTATTTGTGAAATAAATTTAAAAATTCATACACTGTCCATCCTAGAGTCTTTTGTTTGATCATAAAGTCAATACACCCTCAAGGTTTTGGTGAGCCAGCCGGAGATCATTCAGATAAATACACTTTTAAAAACTACAGTATGATGAGAATTATTACCAGAGATCTTGTTTAAATAAATATTTCACGGTTTGTGTGTATGTGCATCTGTATTACAGGTTTGAGCCATGTGGGAATGAACCCAGGTTTCCCACCTGGTCTTGCTAGTCCTTTGCAGCCTGTCTTGGGATCACTTACCCAAGACCCAAACTCCCCACTTGTGGTTCTTCCTACAGAACCTGGACCTCATCATCATCTTGGTATGGAACATTTCCACAGCAAAAGAAGCACACATACACCCAGCAGAGTCTATATTCATTACTCAGACTTACCGCCTCACTCCCGCTTTCATCCTGTCTGTAGCATGAAAGCTGCAGCCGTTTCTCTCCCAGAGTTTTAGTATCATTGGCTAATCATAATATAATGCTCAACTAAGTCCCTCTGTCAGTGGGACAGTGTTTTATAGCTTCGTTAATGGGAGCAGCCATTCCATTGCCCCCTCTACATGTACCCAGCATTATGCAGACCATTTGAACTGGTGGTTTATCTCCCTTGTGGCAGAGCGCTGATTTGTTTGGACTTGACTTTGTGCTGTGTGCGCCTTAAGGTATACGTCTGAAACAATATATGTTGCAAGATTTTTTTTTTTGTACTTTCTGCCATTGCTGTAGAGAGAACAGAATGTGTGTGTGTGCATGTGTGAGTGTGTGTGGATGTCAGCGCTGCTTTGCAAACAGGCTGTGAAATTTAATTATCTCCCGCCTCCCTTGACTCGCTCTGTGAGAGTTCCTGCAGAGAGGGGAAGTGCATCCACTGAACCCTTCCCCTGGGAAACATTAGCCCACTCAGGCTAATCTCACAGAACAAAGGTTCCCAGTGACAAGGCCGCCAAGGAGGGTGTGTGTGTGTATCTGTGTGCATGTGAGGACACATTAGTGTTTGTATGAATACATATGCGCTTTGGGTGGCAACCTGACAAAAATGTTCACTTTCTTGCAGAAAAATCCCACTTCTTTAGAACAAAAAGTTCATGCAACTGATTGTACTCGTTCAACTTTTCATTGTTAAACCAACAGTTACAACAAGATCCCACATAGTTAGATTCAAATGTTTAATGAAATCAAACAGTCTCTTTTGGTCAAAAATAATTGTGATATTTTGTTACGCTTATATTGAAAAACGCAAGTCGAACCAAATTTCTTAGAATCAGTGTTTTTTTTTTTTAACTTCCATTTCCATTTTGTTTAAATCATTCATTTCTTTTTGTCTTTTCTGATTCCTCCGCCAGATGTTTTGGAGCAGTCAGGTTTGTGGCCTCCTGTTTATGGAGCCAGGGCCCCTCCTCCTCACCTGCAGCACCACCCAGTCTATTCGCGCACCTCATACCTACAACAACAGGAGCTGTACGCCCTGCAGCATCAGCATCAACAGCGAGCTATGGAGCACATGCAGCGCATCCCCTTAGGACATGTAAGATTGTTTCTAACGTCACTCAGAAGCATTTTGAACAATCCTAAACTGCTAAATTTAATGATTTTTAAAAACTTTTTATAAAAGAAATGTATGTTTTACACTCCTGATCAATTTGCATTCAATCAGCGTGATGCACTGTCATGTCTTAGGAGTTAAAATTACAAACTAAAAGTTGAATTTTGCTTTAAATTCATGAGAAAACTCATCTATTCTCTTCCGTTTTCTGTTTCAAAGAGAAAACACGAGGACCACACAATCACAATAGAAGACTCTCCTGCTGAACCTCCAGCATCAAGAACTCCCTCCTCTTCCTCTTCTTCATCCACTGTCTCCTCCCATACAGCAAAACCCTTCTCCTACCCTCCTCCTCCTTCACACAAGACCTCCACACCATCGCCCGGGCTCTGTCCCAGCAGTCGTCAGTCCCCCTGCTACCACTCCCCTTCCACACGCCCACGCCCACCCAACCCTCTGACCCCTGCTCCGAGCCCTGCTGCAGCAGCTCCGCGCTCCCCAGCCCTCAGCCCTGCTCCCTCACACCTCTCTAAAGGGCTGGAGAGGGGGAGCGACAGGGGAGAAGGGCAGCCCCCGCAGGACTACCCACAATCCTTAGAGCCAGGTGTGTATGGAGACCGCAGGCTCATCTGAACTGAAAGAACTGCAGCAGCAGGTTGAACTGGCTGATAGCAGAAAATGTGAAGACAGCAGACATGGCAGAGATAGAGAGATAAAATACGAGACAGAGAGATGGAGGCCACTGCTGCTGAAATGTGGCCCAGCTCTTTGAAGCGTGGTATTCTTCTGATTTTGTAGAAATTGTTTGAAGCAGGGCTGATCCCTCACTCTGTGCGTCCTTGAGCGTATACTTTTTTCCCCCTGTGTGCAAGCTAAAGAGGGACAGTAGGTGGGTCAGCCATTAAGGTCAGACAAGCATATGGTCACCTCTCCTTCTGTGTATGTGTGTGACCTGTCAGTGCACATATGTGTGTCACAAGATGAGGGTCAGTGGTATCTCTTAGACAAAGCCTCCTTATCCTTCAGAGGTCCTTGGAAGGCACAGGCGGAAGGATATGCACTCATCTGGCTGAGGGCGGAGGGATATCATCAATAATAAGAGAGCAGGGGTGACAGGGCTGCTGCAATCACAGGACAACAGCAGGGTGTCATCAATATCCCACAAAGAGCTACATGTTCACACTTCTACACACACATAAGTATTATAGATATACATAATACACACTCATATACACAAACCCACTTTGTGTTTTCTACACCTTGATGTTAATATATTATATGAACCATGATAACATGTTTCATCCTGTCCACCTGAACAGAATGCCAATGAACTGAAAACACAAAAAATAGTTTTCTTTGCTGCCTGTCAGATTTTTTGACCGACATGCACATCATATGTTGGTTTTGTGTCAAAGTTTGACCTTTGCTCTCTCCTCCTTCCTCCAGATTTGCCACCTGTTTATACATTTTCTCCGGTCGCCCTGGGTTACAAAGCCGGGCCGTCTCCTCCTGAAGCCCGACTGGCTGAGCATCCTTTGGCGGAAGACGAGCCAGCAGGGCCCGAATCCAAGTCTCTCTCCCACCAATGCCATGTCAAACCTCTCACTGTGGAAGAGGAAATGAGGAAGGAGGAGGAAGACTGCAAAGTGGTGACGTCCCGAGATGAAGCGAAAGGATGCTCTGATTCTGGGACCGAGAGCCAAATTTCTGGATTGCTGCCATGTCCTTTCCAGGCTCCAGTCCCAGATCTTGTGGATCTTTCTCTGAGTTGCTCAGGTCAGAAGGAGGGTCTCGAGGAGCCCCAGCTATCCAAAGAGCGGCTTGATGGGGAGAATGGAAAAGTGGACATGGAGGAGATTGACATGGAGCCTGAACCAGCTGAATGTATCATCTCTGTGCCTGTAGAGCCCAAAGAGGAGGAGGTGGAGCAGGAGGGAGGGAGTGTGGAGGTGGTGGAGGATATTAACGCGAAAGAGGACAGGAATGGGAAAAGTCCGGATGAAGACTTGGAATTATTATGCCCTTCTCCCACTCCTTCCCAGTCTGGTGACCCAATACTTCCTCCAGCGAGTGCAGTGGCTCAGCTCGAAGGGGCCTACATGTGGAGCCTGGAGTTGTTGATTGCAGCGGCTCTGTGTGCCACCAGAGATGCCTTGTACCCCCCGGTACCTGTTGATCAGACACTATACCCTTCATCTCACCATGGAATGGAAATACTGGGGGAACTTGCTGAACTGGAGATCCAGCAAAGAAGCAGGAAGAGTACAGAAAAGGACAATAAAGGTAAAAAATTAAAATACTTCTAAAACTAGAATTTTGAAAATGGCATATTTTCTTCTCTTCTGTGGCCTTTCATGCTGCATGAGATATTTTGCTAACAGACAAACAAATGAGGGGCAGCACGGTGGCACAACTGGTAGAGCTGCTGCCTCTCAGCGAGCAGGTCCCTGGTTCAAACCCCGGTCCAGGGGCCTTTCTGGGTGGAGTTTGCATGTTCACTCCGTGCATGCGTGGGTTTTCTCCGGGTGCTCCAGTTTCCTCCCACAGACCAAAAACATGCATGTTAGGCTGACTGGTAACTCTAAATTGTCCCTAGGTGTGAGTGAGAGAGTGAATGGTTGTTTGTCTCGTTTGTCTCTATGTGTCCCTGTGATGGACTGGAGACCCGTCCAGGGTGTACCCCGTCCCTCGCACAGTGATTGCTGGACATGGGCACCAGCGACCCCCGTGACCCAAAATGGAATAAACGGGTAAAGATAATGGATGGATGGATGGACAAACAAATGAGCACATACACATGCGAACATGGGCAAAAACATTATTGCCCGCCAATGAAATGTATAAGATGTGCGTTTATTCAGAGAAAAAAACAAAACTGAATGGGGTTCTTTCTTTTTAAGAGTTTGTTTTGCATTGTCCAGAAATGTCCAGAAAAGTAGATTTATAAAGAAAACGGAAAGAAAAAAAGTGTTTTTTATATTTTTCCTCTGGTCTAAACAAATGTGCGCACATACAAAATAAAATAATAAAAACGGGGGCCTGGGAGACGTGTGAAATCCAGATGTGTCGCACACAAGCAGACAGAAATGTTCCCTCTAACTCCCGCTTCCTTCCTTTGCCGTAACTCTGCTGTGGCCCACAGGGCGTATTTTCCCTCCGGGGTGTGTGTGTGTGTGTGTGTGTGTGTGTGTGTGTGTGTGTGTGCACGAGTGTGTTTTGAGGGAACACAGAGATGGACAAACAAGCTAAGCTTCCAACACAAACCAGGACACACACTCAGTTCTTGCCCAACGTGTCCCCCAGGCTCCTGCGTCTTGCTTTGCTAATTAGACCCTTTCCTTTAAAACACTTCTCCTGTAAGCGCTCCTATTTTCCTCCCGTCCCTCAGAGAGAAAGTGTTTTTATTTATGCCAGCATCTGCGTGTGGATGCTCCCGTGCGTGCCGTGCACGCTGGTGTATGTGGCTAAGCTGTTAAGTAATCCCAGATGAATCCCTGCTCTCCTCCATCACAGTCTGTGTGTGTCTCTCAACCAGAATGCTTGCTCCCTGCCTCCTTCTCCTCCTCCTTCTCCTTCTTTCTTTGTTGTTTTTTTCAATCTCACTCGCTTCTTTTTTTTTTTTCCCCTACTACACCATCAATGTAATCTTGTGTGTAAATCCTGCCTTTGCAAGCTTTGTTGATGGAATTAATAAGTGTAAAAATAATAAGTCGCTCAGCCGCTGTCTGTGCATGCGTGTGCATTTGTTTACATGTGAGTGTGCACATGCTTAGCATGGGCAATAGGTGTGAAATCAATAAGTTCCTGTCCTGGTGTGCAAAACTTTAAATCACGACACATTTCGTTTTACATAAGAGTCCAGCAGTCCGTGGAGAAATTCAGCCTCTGCCTTTCATGACCAAATTTCAACTAAGATTAAGGTGAAAATGTTGAAAATAATATTATGTGCAATATCAAGCATATTCTTGCACGATCTGTTAGCACTTTAAGTACACATCTGGACGGACTCACAGCTACTACCACATCAACTTTTAGCTCGATGTCTGTAAAATTCACTGAATTATAAACATTATTGTTTTGGTGAATGTTTGGCTGTGGTGGCCATGTAGGTATGGGTTTACTACAAACGTTACTCAGTTGTTGATGTATAGACAATACATGCACTCAGAGAGTTTCATTCATTTCTGTTTAGTGGTTCATGAGATATTTTGCTAACAACCAAACAGGACTCTCCAGGAATTAATACTAAAGTTTTAGGCAGAGATGCTGCACAATGTGCTGTGCTTAATGTTTGTAATAGGGATGAAGCTCAGCCACTACCACACCATATTTTGGCTCAATTTTTGTAAAATTCTCTCAGGTGTAATGATTTTTGTTTTTTCTAACATCAGTTGGCCGTGGTAGCCATCTTTGTTTCGGTGGACTCTAAAAGTTAATCAGTTGTAAATACATCTATTGATTGTGTTCAAAACATTTGATTAAAATGTATCCAGAATCGCGTGAGATATTTTGCTAACAGATAGAGTTGATTCTAATAGTATTGGCACAGATCTAAACATGTTTTGCTCAATCGGTTAGCTCGCTGAGAATAATTTGGAGATGATTTTCAGCTACTGTATTTTCCAGAGTATAAATCACATCAGTTAAAAAAAGCATTATGAAGAGGAAAAAAACATATATAAGTCGTTTCGGCGTATAAGTCACATTTATTATGCATCATCGCTGACCCGTCGTGTTTATATGCGTTTATTTAATGGTCAAAATAGCTTAATTTCCCCTGGGCGGCACGGCACCATCCAGTCATCCATCCATCCCAGCCGGAGCCGATAGCGCTCCAGCGTTCCTCCGCCTGCACCAGCTGAGTGAAGCGAGCGTGCACGGGAGGACTCGCTGTTGCAGTTTTTAGAAATTTAAAGAATCAGTCAAAAATTGCGTTATGAATATGAACAAAAAACATATATAAGTCACAGGATTGACAAATATATGCAAAAAAAGTGACTTATATGCAGGAAAATATGGTACAACAAATTCTAGGTTAACATCTATAAAACTGATAGAGTTATAGTTAAGGTTGTGTCTGCTTAAGTTGTTTACACACACCGGCAAAACCATTATCACACTGCCTTATTACAGTTGATGTTGTTGTTTATTAGTTTATTTATTGTCCTTATGACTGTGTTTGGGAGATAAAGCCAAACCCAGACAGCTCTCCATCTAAGCTGTGTCAAAAATAAAATTTAATGAATCAAAACATACCTTCCCTTCTGTTTTATTAAATTAATATTTTAACTTACAGACAGACAGAGACGATGTCTAATTTTTGCATTTCTTTTATATTTTAATCTCAAACTTTCTGAATGTTGTCTAAGAGCGGGATTTTTTTAAGACACAGGATGGTGTTTATAAGTGTGTGTGTGTGTGTGTGTGTGTGTGTGTGGTTGTGTGTGTGTGTGCTGTGGGCGGAAGGTGTGTATCGATTGCGGCCATCCTCCAGAATACTACACTAGGTGTGGTGATGTCAGCGGTGATGTCATCCTGTCAGAGGTAATCGGAGCGTGCCATTGGCTCAGAGGCTGACAGATGAGATGACATTGACCTCTGTGAGCCCGGACAGGACAAAGCCACATCCCCTCAGCTCCTTCCTCCCAGGAGCAACCTGCCTGTCATCCCTACACTCGTTTCCCCCGTCACAAACACACACACACGCACACAGAGACACACTCATTTTTTTCCCGGCTCACAGACAAAGCCTCTCATCCTTCCTGCCCTCCTCTTCCTCCTCTGTCTCCACATCCCACTCTCGCCTCACACAGGGGTTTAATAATGTCAGATGTCAGTGAGTAGGTCTTGCAGCTCCAGTGCGCAGCCTGGGAGTGATCCAGTAGAGCCTCTCCTCCTCCTTTCCTCCTCCTTTCCTCTCCTTAGCTCCTCTTCTCCTCGAAGAGGAAATTGGATTCTGTCCATGTCCATAATGAGGAGATGCAGGAGAATAAATAAATAGCTCAATAAACACTTTGCC